TTCTGAGAAATTAAGAACCTGAGTTTGAACTAATTCTTAAAAACCGCAATTTTATAAAAATCAATTTTCAAGAACTTCCATATTTCTATAGTCTCTCTCTCTCTATATATATATAAAAAAATGTCCTACTAAAGATGTCACCAAACCAAATAAGTTGGAGATATTTGAACCAAAAAATCTTAGATGTTAATAGGCAACACGGGGCAATTTTTAAGTTAGTTCTGCTTTGATAAAATTTGTCACATTCACTTCTATAGAATCAGGCAAATTTGCTTTGATATACCCACAAGGAAATTTCTTCTAATTCTTACACTATAATCAGGTATAGTCCTCTTAAGAAGTGGCTGGGATGAACATATTTATGAGAAGGCTATTTTGTGATTCTTATTTTAGCTAAGGCAGTGGTTATCAAAGCATGGTCCATGGACTCTTGAGAAGTCTCCAAGACTTTTTCAGGGGGTCCATAAAATGTAAAATCAAGGGTCAATAAAACCGCTGGTACCTTAACATTAATTTAGGCAATGGTACAAAACTGTATCAATAGTCACTGTATTCTTCATTACTATAAACTCACAAGTTAAAAAAAAAAAGCAGAGGCACAGACACATGGAATAGGCTGACAGCTGTCAGAGGGGAAGGGGCAAGGGAAGGGGGGACTGGACGGAAGAATGTGAAGGGATTACCCAAGGACATATATGCATAACCAATGGACACAGACAACTGTGTGGCGATGGCCAGAGGGAAGGGGGCGCTGGATGGAGGGGCGCAGTGCAGGAAGGTGGGGAATGGGGACATCAGCAATAGTGTCAACAATACAAATAAAAGGAAAATAAATAAGCCCAATTTTACTTAAAAACACCCTTGCTAAAACAGTAAAAGTTATTAATTTTATTACATTTTGCCTTTTAGCACATTTTTTTATATTGGAGTAAAAGAGGAAATGTGCATACAGCGTTTTTCCGCTGTACACCAAAATTGACTTGTGGGAAAGCAGTTCTGCAGTTGTTTGAGATGCAACTAAATTAATCTCTTTTTTCATGAAATACCATTTTAACTTGTAAGAACTATAGTTACTCAGGTTTTGGTATTTGGCAGACATTTCTCAAAAATCAACCAAGTGAGTCTGTCACTTCAAAGAAAACAACTGACAGTATTTGCTGCAATGACAAAATTCATTCTTTCAAAAAAATTATAATTTTAGAAAACCTGGGTTTGACACCATGAGCTTGACAAGCTCCCCAATTCTTAATGATTTTTTAAAATGAGATTAGTGGGGATAACAAATGTGATTTTTAAAAATAATTGTATGATAAAAAGTACACATTGGAACAGGTGTATAACTCCCTGAACGAGTATTTTCCAAATGACTAATGTATATTTTTTTAAAAAATCATGCATGGGTAAAAGTATTCATTCAAAGTGTAAGATAGGCCAATAGGGTTTAATGTAACCATGTATGAAAAGTTCACTGATATGGTTTCATTTTCTACACTGCAATAAAGCTTAAAGAAATTGTCACTTGTTGAGTTTTAGTGTATTAACAAAAAAGAATATCCAAAATTACCTGAACAGGTGATTAAAAACATTTCTTCCATTTCCAACTACACATGTATATGGCCTGATTTACTGTTCATATCCTTCAGTAATAAAATGTTTGGCAATAGATCAAATGAAGATATTATCTGGTTACCTTCTATTAAGTCAGACCTTAAAGAGATTTACAAAAAATGGAAAATAATGTCATTTGATGAATTTATAAATAAATCTTAAAAATTTTTTTCATTTCTAATACTGTCAATAGAGATAAATATAATCCATATAAAGAAAGGCTATTGGAGCCCTTGATAATTTTCATGAGTGTAAAGAGGTGATGAGACCACAAAGTCTCAGAAGTGCTGAGCTAAGAAGACAGTACCTTGGATGGGGTTTCCATTGGGAACAATCTAAATGTTTTGGAAATCCAGTTGATGGTTATGCAACACGGTCAATGTACTAAATGCCACTGAACTGTATGCTTTTACACTTAATTTATGCATGTTCTCTCTCCCTCTCTCTCTCCCTCTCTCTCTCTCTCTCCATGTGTGTGTGTATATATAAATTTTATCTCAATAAAAGAACGTCTTAGAAAAGAATACAGTACTTTGGAACCACAAATCAAGAGTCTGTCCAATCTGGCATAGTCTCCTTTCACAGGGTGAAGACCAAGAGCTATGCCCTACTCACCGTGCGATAACCTCAGTCTATGATTACCTTAGGTTCTTTCTGCTTGACATGAAATTTAAAACATTTCAGGAGGCCTTTTCCTTGAAAATAATAAAAACCATGACCAAGTTTTTACAATTTGGTCCAAACACCTGGGATTTACAATCCCAGAGCAATTAATTGTCATCTCAGAGCAATTAATCGAAGCATTCTATCAACAGTCAATAAAACAGTTAACTACTCATCTGCCCATCCTAAGTATATAGTGCATGCTGTATGCCATCCTGTGATAGGTCCTGGGAACAAAAGGGTGAGCAAAAATCACAGATGGTTCCTGCTCTCCCAGGGCTCAGAATTTAGCGAAAAGATAAACACTAAGCAGAAAATGGCACCAATTACAGAAACTATACTGTTGTGAACAGTGCTCTATGAAGGAAAGCTGTAGAATGTCACAAGCATGTAAACATGGGACTGTGACTACACTGAAGACCAGAGGAGCTCCTGAGGACCAGAGCACTAGCTGCATCTGGGAGCATGTCAGAAATGCCCAATCCCAGGCTCCTTCCATATTTATAAAGAATTTGCACTTTAAGCAGCTTCCCAGGTGATTCCTGTTTAAGAAGTACTCACGGCTCTATGGAACGGGTAGAGGTTAATTAAATGAGGAGTATTCTGACCAAGGGCCTATGGTCAGGAGAGGAGGGCATGTCTGAACTCAAAGAAAGCTACTGTGGCCAGTGTCGGGGAGCGTGGGAAGCAGAGCACAGGAGACGCTAGGGGCTTGCACATTCTAAATCAAGTCTTGAGTAAATAGAGGGGTTAGAAGAAACTATAGTCTCCTGAACTCTATCAGGCACACCTTTCTGGCATTAAACTGCTTTCAAAACAAACAACAGTTAGATACTCATCCTTTTATAGTTGAAGGCAAATTCCTTTAATTCCAATGAAGGATTCAAGTTCTTACAGCACAAGTGGTAACAGCTCTGGCTCCCCACAGTGAAACAACAAGGCCGCCTTGCAACACCGTAACTTGAATGTGTGTAAGATATCGTATTAACATCTTGATGCCTCCGAGGGCCCTCATTACCAGGGAGGTCTGAACTCTGAAGAGGCAGTGACTGTACTCTGCATTCTGCAAAATCGTAAGGCACAGTATATTTGAGCCCCTTGATAACAAACATGGGTCACAATGCCAAGTACTCTGGTGAACAATTTATTTAGTGCTTGGGGAACTTTATGGAACGTGACCCAGCAAGCTTGTAAAACTCAGCAGACTGCACTGTGGGAGCTGCACCCAAAAAAAAAAAAAAAAAAAAAAAAAGACTATATCAATAAATATTTGAGGGAGAGAGAAGAGGATCCAAAATTCTACTGTGGCTCCAGGCATTCACAGATGTCTGAGCACAGGAGGAGCCAGTTATGCCCAGCAGCTCCCTCTGTATTGACTAAATGAGTTCTGTGGTATGAAGACCCCAGTGAGGAAGAAGAATCACGATGTGGACTGGTTTGGAGATGAGAATTTACACTAGGAGCATCTCAGCAGCAGCAGCCTACAGCTCTAGGAAGGGCATGTAATATCTTGATTAATACAAGGAAGGCTGGCTCAACTGCAGCTAGTAAACCTAAGGGCAACATCTAGGGTAAAGAAAACCCAGGATTAGGATTTATGGCTCTTTGAGGTAATTTCTTACTTACTCATAAATTCAGAGATAGAGTATATTGACAAAAGTTGCCTGTATGATCAATAAAAAATAAAGATGGAGGCCCAAATTCATTTTCTCCATCTCTACATAAACGAGAGACAGTGGGATTGTGTCATTTTAGCAAAATTAGAGGAAACTGGAAGTCTTCTAGTCCTCTGAATGGCTGTATTCAGCTATACAATTCTTTTTCCAGATACTTTGGAGAGAAAAACATTCTTTCAACAAAGATATGATCAACTTTTCGCTCTCTCACAGCAGTAGAAACCACATTAGCAGCCACTATGTGGAACTTCAAATGGTCAGCTCTGACAATACAAGACTAAGAGGGCAACAAGAGCTTTCCTTTGTTTCTTTGTGAAAATCACTGATAAGCAATCCAACAGCCTTAAGAGGTTCAAAGTATCCTTAAATAAAAGGAACAAATACAGTCCAAATTACTTAAATAGTACAAGAAATCATTAAAAAAGAAAGCAAGAGGGGGAAAAACCCAAGAAAGTAAGAGACAATCTCAGCAACCAAGATTCTGTCCAATGAGTTAGGATTTCAAGGCATTCCTCTAGTTAAGGAGGTCTGTTTCCTTCTTTGTACCCACAAACCACCTCAGGGCTGGGACTCTTCAGCTAACTTTGGGCACTCACTCAAATTCAGCTAAGAGGGATAAACACTTGGTTTAGCTGAACAAGTGCTTTGGGGGCAGTCTGGTTCTGCCACTACCAACCTCAAAGTCTGGGACCAGGACAGACTGATAGGATCTGGCTTTCAGTGTTTCCTGTCTAGTTACAAAACTCTGACTAATTACTTCGCTTAGAAATTATTCATTGTATGCAATTATAGTGTGGGCTCTGCAACTTCTAAACTTTTCTCCACCTTGACCTCTTCCTCTAGTTCCAGCTATGTTCACCTTCACACACACCATTATTTGGGTGTCTCTTCCCTTCTGTTTACCTTTTTCATTTACCCAACTAACTTCTACTAATCCTTTGCTCTTTTATCATGCCCCACCCCAAATTAGGGAGAGTCCCTGTACCCTGCGGCAGTTTGTAATTACGGGCATTTTTGTGACTATCTGGTGAAGGCCTCCCCACTCTCTCTCACCAGAAGATACTGTCTATGAAGCACGTACAGCAAGCCAGGCAGAGAGAGACCAATGGAGAGGTAGACACTGGGCCTTTCATTAAGGAGCTTGTCCTATGACAGAGAGGAAGAAAAACAGGTGAACCAAGTGTTTCGCAGGCATTGACCACAGTATACACGCTGTACAGAGTAGGGGTGGGGTGGGTGGCAAAGTCTACCTGTGCAGAAAACATTTCAGATGAGATACAGGCATAAGCGAAGGAAGAGAGGTGAACAAGCCTGTGGGCACTGCAAGCAGCTGGTTACTTCCAGAGCGTCAGGCCTCTGGCGTGGAGTGGAGAGAGGGAAGGCTAGAGGGAAAGCAGCTTCCAGATCAAGCATGCTTTGGAAGCCATGCTGGGGAGTACAGACTTCGGCTTTAAGTAGGGCAGTGAAAAGGGCAGGGCTCCCTTTTGGTTACAAACATGCCTCCGTCCAAATCTGTGGAAATTCAGGTCATCACCCTTCCCCTGCTTTCCTGCCAGATCTCCCGTAAGCACTCCATGCACTCCGCAGAGGGAGCAGAGGCAGTCGGCAGCTCTTCCATGCATTCCAAATGCATTTCCACAAGACGTCACAAATCAACCAGCACAGGGGGCTGAGAGTCCAGCGCCCACCCACGGCTGGGCACAGACAGCCAAATCAGTCTCATTCTCATTTTCTTTCCTTTTTCTATTTTAATGACATATGATAAAGAAACTTTTTTTTTTTTTTAAATTTTTAAAAGTGGAATTAAGAGACAGTGACTACTGTGACCATGATTGTGATCCCAAACCCACCTGGAAATTAATCTACCCCCTACAGTCAGGTTATTAAAAGTAGAGCCTTTTTCAGGCTGTTAAATTCCCACCCAATTACAGTTTTCACTATACTTTGAATGCACTGAGGTGCACTGGGCTAGTGGCATGACATAAACAACATGGACAGCTGGGTCCTGCCTAGATACTTTCAATAAAATCGACACGGAAAGCACTGGAGGGTCTCATCTTGGAGAAAATTATCACTCTAAAATCATGCTATAATTTTACCATGTGTAATGACTTAAAATTGGTCCTCAGCAAATGAAGTATCTCAAGGCCTTCTTATGAAAGAAATAAGTCCTGAGACACAAGACTGGACAAAAATATATATTCTGAATCTGAGTTAAGAAGCAGGAGAACATAAAAGGGAGAGTTTTCTCAATTCAAAAAATATTTACTGAGTATCTGAGGTACATACAAGCAACAGACTAGATGTTGGGGATATTCAGACAAAGAAGACTTGATCTACCACCGCACAAGGAAGAACAGAGTGGAAAGGAGAGAAAGGGAGACAAAGAAAAATTTGGCTACAGTAAAACTGATCAGTGAAGCAGTTATTGGAGTGTGCACTTGAGGCAAAAATGAAGCCAGAATTTTAAAAGTATTTCTACATACCTTAAATCACTAATAATGGAAACTCGACCCCATTTAGAACACAAAGTAGCCTATGACTAAGGGAAAAAAGAAAAAAGAAAAAAAAAAGCTCTAGACTCTAGTGTTCCCAAGGGGATAAGGACTATTCAACTGGTGAATATACCTTGCTGAGATTCTTAGTAACTAGAGCTTATTTGTATGGTTCAGAAAAAATATATACTCAACAGTGATGACCATTTATCTTAAGAAATACAATAAAATATTTAGTTATCATTACCCCAAAAAAGGTAAGCAACATGATCCTTTTCCCTACACTTTTAAAACTCATCCAAACTTGTTAAGTTCTATAGAACAAGAAATATCATTTAATTAGAAACCCTGGGGAAAACTACCATAAATCACTTGGTCTTTTAGACTTTGAAAAGGAATCATCTTGTTTTATCAAATTCAAAAGGAAATGAAATACATTATGAAGGAAGGGTCTGCTTAAAGTGAGCTATATATCAATTCCCACCATTTCGGTTTCAGATCTATAATTAAGACATATGTGAAGGTATAATATATTAAGGGGAAAAAATAGCCTCTGGATTTAGATGGGAACATAGGTACAAATACTGACTTCTGGAACTTGGTAGCAGTGTGACTTCAGGCAAGTATGTGACATTTTGAATCTCAGTGTTCTCCTCTGTAAACTAAAAAATCCATTATCTGCTTTTGGGAATTTTTACGATGATAGTAGATACTGGATTGTGAAGGCACCTGACACATAGTAGTTCTTCAACAAATGCAAAGTGACTGTATTATTCTTTATGTTCATAAATACTTGAGCATACGTTCTTATCCCTCTTGACTGCTGAGCAGAGACAAAGAGTGAGGAAACTTTTCTTCCCGGGTGGAATGACACTCCATGTTCTTGTGACAGTCCAGAGAGAATACTCAGTTCATTCACCCTGAAGGAATTTCTCCGAACACTTCCAGGGTGACATAATTATTGTCTTGGGGAATTGGGATAAGCGTCAAGGTTGAAGCAACTGGAGCATTATCACCAAGCTCAGAGCCAGCAACAGATATCAAACAGCAGTCATAAACAGCAAATGAAGACCCAAAAATAAAAAGCAGGAAATGCAGTATCCCACAAAGTATTAAACATTTCCAGCAAAAGACTAAGATTTAATGGGGTGAAAGTTGCCATTTTGAGCCCTGACTGCATGCCGGAAACCATGACATGCACTTCGCATGCTTCAACTCAGTCTTCACAACACAACTAGGAGAAAGGCCCCATTGCTCTCCCCATTTCATAAATGAGGACACGGAGGCCCAGATGTCAGACAATTACAGAAGGCCCTCCAGCTGGAGGGGGCGTGACTGGAACTTGAACTGGAGTGGCTTCTACTCTTAAACGATGTGCTATTTCCAAATATATCAATGGAAAACCTATCACATGCTCATTACCCTAAATAAGCCAAGTAAACTGTTCTTCAGACAACAGGCTTTGTCTTCTAGAGTCTGATTCTGGTTCATTCTATAAGGTGTAAGTCCTAACTAGGACACACCAAGGGCACTAAATGCTGGAGCCCCTGGGGCTCTGTCCTGGAACCTCTCTTCTACCCACAGACCTATCTTCAACGATCTCATCAGCCTCACATTGATCTACACAAAAGAAAAGCCATCTGTATGCTCAGAGCTCTCTTAACAGAACTCTTGACATGTTCATCCCTGACACCTGCCCAGCTCACCACACAGATACAACAAAACCAGGCCTCTCTTTCCTCCCTAGAAGGCCAAAAACACAGGAGTTCTCCTTGATTCCTCTTCATGTGACACCTACCCAGTCAGTTAATCCTGTTGGCCCTGTCTTCAAAGTATAGCCCAAATTTGACTACTTCTTACCACTTCCATCAGGACAAACCTAGTGCAGGCCTCCAGTGTCTATCATCAGGGCTACTGCAATAGCCTTCCAGTTGGTCTCCCTGACTCCATTCCTGCCCTCATTCAGCTCATTCTCCAGGGAGCAACAGGGCAATCTTGGAGAAAACAACAGCAAAAACAGATCATGTCACTCAACCCCTCAGAACTCTCCATTGTCTTCCTATTACAATTAGAACGGAATTCTTCCCTCCCTCCTCCCCCAACCCCACCTGGTCTGGTCTCTGCTTAGCTCTCCAAATTCAGCTGTACCATGCTGACTTTAATGTCCTTTGAATAAGCCAAGTATGTTTCCATGCAAAGCAGGTTTCTTTCTCAAGTCATTTGCACTTACTATTCCCTCTGCCTGGAAGGGCCTTCTTTTAACTCGTTACATGGCTTTGCTCTCGCACTTCATTCAGGTAGTGACTGAAATGTCACCTCCTCTGACCACGTGACCTAACAATTCCTTGTCCACTCCTATTATTCTAATTCTACATCTTTCCCTAAGAGCACTTAACATTTCCTGAAATTATCTTTATAATAGATTGTTTCTATTTTTATACCATATTTTTTAAAAAAATCTTCAGCTGAGGATATGTTTGTTGATTTTAGAGAGAAAGGAAGGGAGAGAGAAACAAACATTGCTGAGAGAAACACTGATCAGTTGCCTCTTGTACGCATCCTGACAGGGAATCAAACCCAGAACCTTTCTGCTGTATGGGACAATGCGCCAACCAACCAAGCCACCTGGCCAGGGTTATACCATATATTTTTAAATTCACTGCTATATTCGTAAGACATAATACTGAGTAGGTACTCAATGAGTATTTCAAATATCTGCCTTCTCAATTAAAATTTAAGGTCTATCTTGGTCACTGTTTTATCCCCATACCTAGAAGAGCATTTGGCATATATCAGGTACCCCCGTATTTAAAGACTGAATAAGGGAACATATCCTAGCAGTCCTATTTGGATCAGGTCAACTCCCATCTTATAGGCAACAGAAGAATAGGCACTTCCTTACTGGAATGGCTATTGGGACGCATTCTAGAGTAGTTCAAAGTGCCCCATTACCAAGAGCCAGGTCACACTCCCAGGGCTTCAGACTGGATCTTCTCCATCCAGATGTTCTAAAGCTAGGTGGCAGCTGGCTTAATTATTCAACATGGGAAAAGACAACATAAGGCAACATGAGCCTAGGTTGTGGGCACCAAGACAATTGTGTATTGTACCTTCTATCTCTAGATTCCACCCAGGCCCTGCATAGCCTATAACAAACAAGCGTATTTTCCTTGGACATGTTCCACCAACAGATCAATTTCCACAAACATTACTATGCTGAGGCTGTAGGGACGCAAGTCCAAAGGCAAAATAGGTGCTCTGTGCATCCTAGTTCTATCCCAAGTAGCTACCTAAATGATGCCAGCACTTGCTCTGAGACATGAACAAGGCACATATGTTTAAAAATACATTCATTTAATCCAGTCTGACAGTGAGAAGGGTTTGTAGGGGGCCTACTGTACCAGCTTGTAGGGGGCTGGCTGTACTCTGTCTGGCAGACCCTGCAGGTGTTTTCAGTTAAATGTGATAATCAAATTAGCTGCACAGCACAGTTAACTCTGAAACAGTGATTTCCCCATCTGCCTTTCTCCCATGTGAAGTGCAAAGACGGAAGGAAGAGCCTTAGCCTGGTAGCAAAGGCTCAAGTGAAGGCCGGAGAGCAGGTGCTTACAGGCGTGCAGGGGTAAACACAGAAAAGGGGAAAGAAGGGGT